ATGTCTCTAGTTTATCATTCTTTATGGCTGAGCTGCATACAAGAAACACACTTAATTAAAAAAGAAACTCATAGACAGAAAGTTAAAGTCTAGAAAACAATACTCCATGCAACAGGAACTCGCATAAAAGCAGGAGTAGCTATTCTATTTGCAGATAAAATGATTTCAAACCAACACTAATTAAGAGACAAAGAAAACCACTACACACTTGTAAAGGGAGCAATCCAAGAGGAAAAGATGACAACCATAAATATATATGTACCAAATACTAGTGCGCCCAACTATATAAAACAAATATTAACACACATTTGAAAAATCAAATAAGCACGAATACAGTAGCAGTGGGGGCCCTCAATATTCCACTGTCATAAATAGATAGATCAACCAGACAAAAAAATCAACCATGAAATGATAGAACTCAACCAAAGTCTTCACCCCTCAAAATCAGATTACATATTCTTTTCAGCTGCACATGGGTTATCTCCAAAATAGATCACATGCTTTCTCATACATGTTTAAGTAAATGCAAAGGAATTGATATTATCCCCTGTGTATTATCAGATCACAGCGTGATGAAATTGGAGATCGATAGCAAAAGAAACCACAATAATTTTATAAACACATGGAAAATGAACAACATACTTCTGAATAACCAATGGATTACACAGGAAATAAAAGAAGAAATCAGACAGTTTCTGATTTTTAAGAATTTTGCAAAAATATCTTTTTACTTGGGGAAAGATTGGCCCTCGAATTTCTTTCGAGCTTTCTAATGTCCATTAACTTGAAGATGGAAAGTGGATATTTCATGATGTTCAAAATATGTAATGGAAATTGTGTAAAATTATTGACTTTACTGAATTTCAAATTTAACTTATATATTGCATTTGCCTAGTTTTATTTTCCCAATCTAAATTAGTGAATAATTTAAGACATTACATTAGTGTGAGTTTCTGAAAAATCAAATCAGAGGCCCTTATAATAGATTTATTGAACTAGTATAGGTGGATATTTTGGTCTTAAAATATTAGTGCTTTTGGTTTAATGTTAGAGGATTAGCTTCTAGATCCAGATGGCTCCTTGCCAGGATGCCTTCTGCTAGTGACTGGAGAATTGATTCTTATTATTTCTGCACTTGCATGTGTTCAGTAATCCAGTAATTTCATGTACCAAACTGAATGGTGTACACACATACAAATAAGATTTACATGGAAGAGACCAGCTGTGTACAGCACTGCCCTTGGAAGGGCAAATTTGCTATGATAGTGATTATAGCATATGAAGCTCAAAGCATAACCATAAAGACCATGGGACTGTTTCTGTGCCTCATGCAGTAGTCTATAAATATTGCCCTCAGAACAAGAAGATGTGTGCATTCACTCTGACAACTGCTATTTCCCATCTTGTAAAACCGATTGTCTTGCAACCTCCTGCTTTTAAGATTCTGAAAATTTGATAAATACCCTCCTTAGTAGTAAAACTTTGCTTTTTGCCATCTTTTAAAATAATACAGATTAAGTAAGAGTAGTATTTAAGTTTTTAAAATACAGTAAAAATTATTGTAATAAAAACCAGTTTTTAAAATTTGTTGGATTTTATAAATATTACTTAAGCAATTCTAGCATACTAGGACGTTACAGTTTATAGTCATCACAGGTTAAAGCATCATTTAATTTGTTTTTCCCCCACCAGTATGCTAGGATTTAAATTAAGATTGCACTGATTTATTATTTAATGAGAATGTACATCATTAAAAGGTTGATTTTTTAAACTTAGCGTTATATAATAATTCCATTTTGAAATCTTGCAATTAGATGATTTAAACTGGTGATAATATATACCAGTTTAAATATATTTAATATATAATATAATATGTAATAAATTATAATAACATATAATAGAATATATTTAAACTGGTGATATATAAAATGAATATACAGATTCATTTCCATATATTCTTAAAATGTTAAAATATATTTTATGTAAGTTAAAGTCTATTTCCCAGATATTTTTGTATTTCTACTTTACTCGGTACAAACCTGGAAGTTGTCGGTGAGAGTGCTGACACAGGTTCATACATGTCCATGTTTATATTGAGCTGAAAACGCAGGTAATTAGTTAGCTTTCTTTGGATTCCTCCAGTGCAGTCCTCTAACAATTGAATATGTTAGTTGATCTTTTCATGTACATTTGGTGGGTGTCTTGTTTAAGACTTATGCATTAAAAACTCCCCAAATCAAAACTTTTATTTCATAGTGTAGTCTTGAAAAAACCAAGTGTTTTCATAAACATTATAATACTTGATCCTCATAGAAACCTTGAATTTAACAAGACTATATAACTTTACATATGGAAAAACTGAGCAGGGCAGAAGTTGCAAACAGCGTGCAGTATGGTTAACATTGTTACCACACTTGCTTAAATACAGAGCTAAGCACATGACCCATAAAATGTCCTCTGATCAAAATCAGATAGTTAGAAGAATCAAATCTGAAAAAGATTGTGTACTTCCCTTTGACATTAGAAATGATTTATGCTCTCTTCATCTCATAAAATGTGCTAGGATATTTTTAGGATTAATAATCTAGGAATCGTGGGTACAGTTTGAATGTGAAAAAAAGTAGCATTAATTATTCTTCAGTTCGGGCTTATTAGACAATTACTTCCTTTAGTTATGTTAAAATTTAAATTTCTTAGCAAGTATTTTAGCCAATAGAAACATAGCATCATGGACATGTATATTTATGATATTCCTGTATTCCTGAGGATAGGGCTTATATACTTATCTGTGTTTACATGTTCATGTTAATGAGTGCATGAGAGTATGTGTGTGTGTGTGTGTGTGTGTGTGTGTGCACGTGTGTGCATGTGCGCATATGTGTAAATCTACAGAGATAGGAGAATTTGTTGGGTTACATAAGCCTTTGATATTATATTGTAAATTTGGATGTTTATTTACAAAATCATGTAAAACAAATATATTAATGGCTGAGGGTATTTTCTCCTCAGATTTATATTAATAAGATCAAGTATTTAGCTTGACATGAAAATGCAGCGATGCGCTTAGCCTACTCACGTGTAGATTCTAGGATGTAATTCAAGAGGACTGGCCATTTGCCTTCAGGCAGTCACCTCACCAAGTTCTCCAGCTCAATCACGCCTTGCTGTTCCAGTTGCCCACACTGAAACTGGATGGAGGCTAAGCCATTTGCTCTTTCTTCATCTCCTCCCCTACCTTTTCCTGTTATTTCAGCACTAGCTTTGAAACACAGTCCCCATACTACATTTCATATTTTTTTCCCACAAAGAGAAATTTCAGAAAAAGTAGGTGAATATCAGTCAGTGGAAATCAGAGATTGCATTACATCAAATTTATGGAGAAAGTTTATCATACATAATGTTTCTGTATTTCTTATAATCACCAACTGTTGCCATCAGCAATTTGTGACATGATTTTGGTAGAAATGATAATATTACTTTCTTAACTTCTTACATGGATCCTCAGTTGGGGAGCTTTTTGCAGAACTTGTGTGCAATGACCATTGAATGGCATTCTCCTGACCCCAGACTCTCTAAAGGTCAGCAGGCCATTCATATATTTGTAACTTTCAGTCCTCAATTCAATTTCTTCCATGGTTCCTCTGTTCATGGGAGTAAGACACCTGAAGCACAGGCCAAGGCTTCTTCTTTGGGAAGCTAGTGGACCAGAGACAGAAACAAGGTCGCTGCCTCCATGTGTGAAAAATGTTTTCGGATTTTGTATCTTCCACCTGAATATAATGCAGATGGCGGTGGCAATGTAGAATGAATTTATTTGTTTGTTTATTTATTTATTTATTTAGAAATGGGGTCTTGCCATGTAGTTCAGACCAGACTTGAACTCAGTATGTTGCCCAGGCTACCCTCAAACTCATGGCAATCCTCCTGCCTCAGCCCCTGAGTACTGAGATTACAGGCATGTACCACCATGCCAGGCAACAAGGCGAAACAAAGTTAGCTTACTGTGTAGTTTAATTTTACCTTATCAAAGTTGATGAGAAAATAAATGTGAGCAAAAAAATAAGTCTTTTGTAAATATTTTATAAAGGACAAATAAGTGTTACTTACTGGAATAAACCCAAAGTGTTCACAATAATTTTGAAAATTTACTTTTTGCTAGAAAAATAACTGTTGGGTAATTTTCTTCAAATATACTGCCTGTCATTGGAGTACAATTAGAAATTCATTGACACAGTAGGAATTTCTCTCTTTCTCTCTCTATCCCAGGTGTATTTTTCTCTATATCAGTCTAGTTATGCTATACATATGGAGATAATGTGTGTTAAGATACTCTACTATTCTTTTTTTCCTAAACACAAATGTTCTTTGGACTGTAGTATGAAAAATCACTGTGAATCTCCCTAATTTTTAAAATATCATTAGCAGTAATACTCTAATCAATTTTAAGAGTATTTCTGGCCACCTCTAAAGTTGATAAATCATCGTACTATTCTTCATTCTTTTTTCTCCTTACAAATAGTTAATTTTCTAATGTACAAAAAAGATGCTCAGTTTTAAAATTATTTTACAAATGAATATTATAGAGCTGATACCAAAGATCTTTCTTGAGAATAATGTGTAATTTCAATGAACAAAAGTAGTTTTTCACTAAGTCCTACTATGATTATTTATGATCTTTGGATTATTTCCACGAAGCCTATGCAATGGACAGGATTTCCAGAATCATCTTCTGGGCCTGAAGATCATTGACAATTCAGATTATTCTGTTCACAGCTGGAATCGTTTGAACAATTGTGTGAATGGCTCTAAAAGTATTACAAAATAACAAGAAAAACACTGGAATATTTTTATTTGTTGGAAACACTTGAATATGTTAATCCTTTAAATTAAAGAAATGGATTCACCATTACCAAGTACCAGTCATCTCTTAATTGCTAATTGTGTTTAAGGAATACGGATACATTATGAAGCATTGACTATATGTTCTCCTTCATTTGTAGGTAACTCATTAACCAACGATAAATCAGTGACCCTCCAGGCTGATTACATTGAACATATGCATAGAAATTTAACTCCTGAGATGATCTTGAAGAAGATTTTTATACTGTTCAGAAGAGGCACTCCGGAGCCTATTTCCAAGAGATTTTATGGCTCCTTACCATCCTCTTCTTGAGATCAAGACTTTTAAAAAGTGAGACATGAACTTCTATATCATAAAGACTTCATCAGATTGGAACTGTGCTCAACTTGTAAAGTTGCTAAGGAAATTGGAAGTCACTGTCTGCAGAGCTGGCAGAGTTGCTATTTTCAGGGTGACATCAGAGACAGTCACCTTTTGGGTTCCTGGCTCCAAGCTGTGACTGCTCTGCTCTTCTTGTTTCCGAAAGCTGTTTCCAAGTGCACTGTCCTGTCATGGATGTGTTCCTGGGTTCTTTGTTCATGGGCTAGTGAGACTATTCAAGGCTTTGACAACATTTCCATTGCGAACTTCTCTGGCATGGCATAGACTGAGACAATTTTGTTTGTATCCTAATCTTGGAGCTCTGAAAGCCTACTGTTTTGGCACCTTAAAGTCGATTTTGTTAAAGGATGGAAGTATATATCCATTGATAATAATTATTGTTGGCAAGTAATAGTAATCTGAATACATCAATCATATAAGAATGTGTAAACAAGCTGACATGTTTTCCCAATGCTAACATGCTACTGCAGCTCTCTGTCAGTTAGACAGATACTAATTAGAACTGGATTACCATTTTCATTATATAATAATTTGCACCTCTAGTATACTCTCCCTTTCACTTTGTTTGTTTTTTGTAAAGTGAACTTATTTTAAATTTTTATTTATGTGTGTTAACTTCCCCCCTTCACGGAAATCATCAGCGAGGAGCAGTCAAGTTATTAGGTAGTTTTCAGTTTAAAATTGCCAGGGATGCATGTGAGTTTTTGATTTTTTAGCTTAAATGTTAGTCACTTATATTTATTCTGGTATTTTTTAAAGCTATCTCTTCTTTCTATTTAATTTAAAAAAGACTTATCTCTTGCTTGATCCTAATGACTGTTTGAATGCTTATATATTTGTTCAGTCTGTTGATAGAATAAATCGTCCATTTTCCCAGTCACAAATTTATAAATATTTGCTTACAGTTGTTCCATTCAAACAATTTCTTAGGCCAGTATTTTGTTCACATTTTCATAGCTTTAATATTCGTGGCTTTTGGTTCTACACAAACGTCTTATAAGTATTTAAAAGCCTTAACATTTATGTACTTTTTTCTAAGTTCTTACAGAATGTATAATTTTATACTACATTTATTTTGTTTCATTTGTGATGTGGAGGCAAAGAAGAATGGAAATCACATCCCCATTCTGTAATACCACTGTGTAAATCTGTGGGTTGAAGGAATGTTAGGGGAAGGATCTTTATTGTATTGACTTTAGAGTAATTAGAAGACTCTTCAGAAATTATCCTACCTAAATTTCATCTTCCTGGAGAAAGTGTGAAAATACGTTATGTCTTTAGAACTCACTGACACGGCCAGTTAGGCATGAGTTGGTTTCTGTGATGGATGCTCACATATCCTGAAGATCTTTGGTCTGTTTGTAATGATAATCAAAGACCATTAATTACCCAGACTCTACAAGGAAGAACAAATGAAAATGTAAAATTTGTTGAAAATTAATTTGTTAAGTGTACTTTTGACATTGAACTAAGATCTCACAAGTATGTGAAATATAATTACTTCCTGCCTCCATTTTAATTATGCATAAAACTAATTAGATGGCTCTGAGTGGATTTTGCAATGGTTCAAGACCATGTAATAAAAAACAAAGTAGTAACCATTATGCTGGGATTTCTATATCAATTAGAATCTCATTTATTTCTTTGGAACAAAGTGAGGAACCATATTATTTTGAAAATTGTGAATTTGTCCTATATTTGTTGGAAATTATAGATTATGCTTCTCATTTTTTAAACTATGTCCTTTAAAACAACACTGGAAATTCTGTATTATATACAAGTGTAATACATGCATATCAATAGAAAAAATAAATGGAATTTCAAATATACTAACTAGATTATTCCCAGTAGATTAATATTGTGACTACTCAGAAAAGGTAAATAAAATTGGGATATAAAATGAACTCTTTCATAAGTACAATTTGGAAAATCTGTTTTCTTCTTTTTTTTGGAAGGAGGAATCTTTTTATTCACTTTTTGTTGGTTCATATGCACAGTACATGATGATTGCATTCATCGTTGGGAGTTGGTACATGTACAAAACACATCTTAATTAATCTTTTATGTCCTTCTTTACTCTCCTTCCTTCCCCTTCTTTCTGTCTGAGAAACTGTTTTCTTATATTTTATTTTTAGAGTGCTTCAGTCACTATGAAGGCAAACCTCTGAATTCATAGAGAAACATATAAATTCTTTAGTCTTCTTTTAATAGAGATCCATGGCAAATTACACCATTTACATAAGGTTCCAATATTTGATTTGCTTCTTTAATGGAAAATAATAAAGATATATTTACATTTGTGTTTCTCGCCCACATCATAGCTATGAATACAACTGGCATTAAATTTGCAAGTATAAAATTCATTTTATAATAAAAATTGTTAAAGCATGCCTTTTATTTTTTTTGAAATACATTATAATGGAAAAATGCATCAAAATCTAAACTATGGATATGATTTTGTGTCTAAATTATTTGAAAACGTTTTCATTTTGAAAGTATTTAAAAAGTATCTAAAAAATAATGTGAATGATTTTAGTGTGTACTCTTTCCTCTTTTTTCCTTAGTGATATCGTCTTACAAAACCAACATACACTGCTGAAAACAGAAAATTGACATTTGTACAATACTTTAAACTGAATACCGACCATATTCAGATTTCACATGAATTCTGAGAGTGTGTGTGTGTGTGTGTGTGTGTGTGTGTGTGTGTGAGTGAGAGAGAGAGGGAGAGAGAGAGAGAGATCTTAATATCTCTAATTAAGTGGTATCCCTCCATTGTGGTATGTTGGGACACAGATTACAATATGAGAGTATTCTGTGGAGGGGGGGAGAGTAAAACTTGAGTGATAGATTTGTCATAATTATTTTAAAAATCTGTTTTTGGAATAACTATAGATTTAATTTAATTGTATATACCCTTGTTGCCTTAACACAATGAAACTTTCAATTTTAACACTAGACAGTACCATATATGGTTTCAAATTTGGTATCAGTTTTAATAGTAGAAAGACATCTGAGAATCTGCCCCAGAGGGTAAAGTGAAAAAGGAATTCATTCCTATTCTTTATTTCCTCAGCAAATTCTGCCTTGCTACACAGGGCTATACAACCGGATTGTGACTTTTGATAGGACACATCATCTAATAGCACAGAAAGTCACTGAGTTTTTGAGATTTGAACTTTAAAGTTGTGATCAATGTCTATATTCATGGATGACACACCCTTTTGCAAGAACAATATGTGCAAAGAAATCAAGTAGTATTCAGCCCTTTCTCATTTTCATTCACTAACTTAAATGGGAAGAATTAGAATTGTTACCACAGAAAAGGCTTGCATGCTTGGGGCACAAAGAAAACAATTAGTTGAAAGGCAAATAGTGGTAGAATTAAGGACTTTACTAGGCCTAGTGTGATGGTGCACTTGAATAATCTCAGATAATCAGGAGACAGATGCAGAAGGATCATAAGTTTCAGCCCATTCTAGGTAACACAGCCAGATCATATCTAAAAATAATAATTAAAAAAAATGGCTGGGGATGTAGCTTATGCAAAGGTCCTGAATGAAATCAATTTCCAGAACTGAAAAAAGAAAAAATAAGTTATTATGATAAACTAGTTGGTCAGAAGATGGTAAAGATTCTTGCCCTAATGGACCATCTGCTGGGAAACCGATCATATGGGTATTTTACATAGGAGCCCTATGTAAGGATGGTGGGCTGTGAGTAGGCTTGGGGACAAATGTTATATATATGATCTTAATCACTAGTCACAAGTGTTTTCCAGTTCTTTAAATCTCTAGAAGAAAGATCACTATTTCTTTGGGCTATTCTCTCACTCATTAGTTTGCAGTTCCTAACATACTACTCCATGGACAGACAAGAGACAGTAGCTATCTTGCTAATCATTAAAACCCTCTGTAATGAAGGAAAGCATACTCCACCTGATTATTGTGAAAAAAGGGTAGCACTAGAAGTTAGATTGGGCATCAGTCATGAGTTCTGGTGCCAGTACCCAGCTTCCCAATGTTACTAGATACTGCTTAGATAGATGAATTGTTGGGGGAGATTCTGCTTTTCTTACCCACATAGAAAATTCATGGTAGAACATTGCCATATTTTATCAAGGTAAGGGCCTTTTTTTCCTTACTCCCTTTCTTTTTTTTTTCTTCTTTCATGTGTAGAATACTTTAGGAAGATATATTCACATATTTCTTATAGATTTCTTCAGCATGGCTTTTACTTGTACTATGTGAAACTGAAACTTACTGTAGATATTTCAATAATCTGGCTTTTAACTGACAATTGTTGAATTCCTGTTAGATATAAACATATTTGGCTAGATTGCATTTGGTGGTTAGATGAAGTGTGTCCTTAAAAATGACCTTTCAGATCAGTTCAACAGATAGTTTTTCAGTGCCCTATAGGTTTGTGGCACTATTGCCAACCAATGAAAAAGTGAGTACACAGATTTATAACTGTTTCAGATTTGTCTTGATTTTTCACAGATTTTTTTCTTCAATGTATTGCAAGTTAATAAATGGCATGAACTATACCTGAAATGTTTTTCTTTGAAGGTCCTATCTGGTATGCAAAACAATTAAACAATTCCAGAAGTCACATGTTCAGAACAGTGAATGTCCAAAGCTGTGTTTTATAAATTCCAACAAAAATCTCATTAAAAGTCTTACAGAAATGATACTGTGGGCATGGAAAAAAATTAAAGATGATTAGAATAATCTAGGACAGAGGTCTTGAAACCATGAGCTTGGAATATAAGAAGGAAAATGTGAAAGAGTAGATCTTAACCCCAGTTGCCACTTAATTCAAGGAGCCTAAAATGTCTATGTTCAACTTTGCTTTCTGATATTCTGTTAAATGGCCTGGATTAGAATGCGGGCATGGCATCAGATGGCCAGGGGTGGATGAAATTAGGAATATAAAAGGAAGGCCGAGGGAAATATGCTTGGAGGCCTTTGGGCTTACCGAGGGTGTATTCAGGTCTTTAGAAGATGACGTTTATTTTGTGCTCAAGTTGAATCTGCAAAGAGAGCAGAAAATATTTGAAACAAATATTAGAAAAACAGACTTATGGTCTTTCTACATACTGAGAGCTCTGAAGGCAATAAAGGCACAAGACAGAGCATTTAATTGGTGAGATGTGTCACTTTCCACTAATGCATTACAGTCTAGACAAAGAAAATGGGAGAATGAAGAGTTGGGACTATCTTTACGTGAAGATAGGGGACATTAAAAAAAGTGGCTAGCACTTGTTGAGCACTTACTCTACTCCAGGAGTTCTGTCTCACAAACTTATGGTTCATATTTAAGTAAATATTGCTGAAATATGTATTTTTTCTGTTATCATTTTGTAATAAGAACACTGGGGCAAGAAAGGTTAAATAATTTCCCCAGTGCCACATTATAGCAAGTGGCAGGGCCAGGATTTCAGTCTCTATAGTAGTAAATAAAGGGAAAATGGCAAAGCTGTAAGAAGACTCTGAGTGGAAGTTAAAAACATATGTGTGGGGGGTTGATGCTATGAATCTAGGGATGGAGAGAGGGAATAGAAATAATTTTTAATTGGAGAGAAGTTTTATTAAGGAGGGAGCTCAATACATTTATTAACAGAGATGTTTGTACATCTACTCTCTGCCTCTCTGTGTGAGATGCAATGAATAAAATATAGGTAATACATTTTACTTTTTTCCAAATAATGTCTGTCTAGGGAGGAGCAATACTCTAAATTTTATCAGTCTTGCTAAGAATCTTCAGAAAACCCCGTTGAGGCACTTGAAGCTTGGGACACCACTAGAGAGATAATGTGCTGAAAATAAGATGAGGCCAATGTGAAGAACAGCAAAGAAATTGATCCAAAGAGAAGCATTTGACGAGGGCAGATCCTATCAATAATTGTGACCTGCAGTATTGCCTATGTCACAGAGAGCTTTTTTTTAAAAATTGAATTTATTGGTACATTTTAGGTATAAGTACAGTTACATTCATTATTGGGATCTTGTACCTTTACATGACAGGTCTTGGTTCTCATTTTTTCCCCTTGTCCCTGCCCTCCCTTCACCCTGTCCTCCCCTCCCCATTTACACACACTTTATTTCCATTTTTTCATTTTCTCCTATTTTTTCTTTTCCCCTACTCCCTTTCCCCTACCCTTCCCACTTTCCCTAAACCTTTAAATAGGAAGAAGAGCTTTAATAAGCAGTTTTTGCTCTATTTTAATATTTTGTTTGATCCCCAGTTGAAAGTGATGATTATGTCTTTGTGTATATCCATAATGCATTTGTTGGAGTGTGCAATCCATTTTGTATTGATGTTTAGCCACCACTTTAAAACACAATGGCATCAGTGAGCATTTATTATTGCTCCTACGTCTTCCAGTGATCTGGGACTTTATGCTGGTCTTGGCTTTTGTGGTCCTGTGTCTGCTGGTAGTTGTGGCTGGGTATTGCTTGTTTGTACTTTTTCACAGGTGCTGGATGTCTGACTATAAACCAGTCTAGAAAGGTCTTACCTGTAATGACTGAATTACTTACTGTGGTTCCTTGACTTCCAACAGACAGACTCAGTTCATTCTTGTAGTGGAAACAGGGTTCTGAAACTGTGATATACTTACCCAATCTCAGAATGGTATATCCTCACTTTGGCAACATTTCTGTTGGTTAACTCAAGTTGCAAGATATTGTGGAGCTGGACAGACTCTACTCTTGTGGAAAAGTTCTGCAGTGTTGCATATAGAAAAGATTAAGGGGATCTAGGGATTGGAGAAGGGGAGTTGGGAGAGAGAAGAGAGGAAGGGAAAGTAAAAATGATCAAGGTGCAAATATGTATATGTACTAATTCCCCCAAATTAAGGTATTCATTGTGCATCACAAATATATACTAATAGAAAGAGGGATATTTAGATCATTTTAAAAAATTACTCTGAGTGGCTTCACATTAGTCTTACTCCTCTCCAACACAAACTTTGCCATCTTTCTTTTTTAACCCAAATGTAATTTTAGTACACATCAATTTAAAATTCTTCAGGCTGCCATTGTCTTCATATCAAACCTATGCTTTGTGTCTCTGCACCTTTCTTCACGCAATGTTCACTTGTACTACTGGTTCTTTCACACAAAGTCCTTGTATGTAGTTCTCAGAATGTACTCTGTTCCTACAAATACATTTGTCCTTAGGCTGGACTCTATTAACTCTTTCACATTCTCCTAATTACTACATTCATTTAAAAAGTTAATGGAATGAACGCTGGGATGTGAACACAAGATTGTTGACTAGTAAAATAGTTTTGAAAT